GTATATATACATATACATACATATACATATGTATATATATATACATATTTATATATATGTATATATATATACATATGTATAAATATGTATATATATACATATACATATGTATGTATATATACATATATATATATATATGTACCACTGCTAATCATTTTATTAGGCTTCATCAAATATAAATGACAGTCACACAACAAATTGCCTTTGCACAAAATCTTCAAGCATCTGAAGTTCCCTGACATAACAAAAAGCAGCTTTCCTGCTCACAAACTGCACCACTGTTTAAACTGCAAACTAACACTATAACAAAAAGCATAATCAGTAGTAAGAAGGTAAAACTGAAGAGAAGAGATCATTTAATCCTCACCCACTCAAATCCTCATTAAAATAATTGAATTCCAGGTATTCATTTACATCATATAGTGACAGCATCTTGACATTTAACCACGCACAAACATCAAGGCCTCTAAAAGCTCAGATATAAAACTAGACTATAGTTTGTTCTTAGCTCTGGCTTCATCATATCCTTAGCACTAGACCTCCTTTAGACCGACGGCAAGGTACAGAAATGTTGGATCGGTTGCACCCTCCTTGTAGTAAGCAAAGACCATGCTGCCGTTGTCGTGCAGACTTTCACCTACAAAACTGCCAGATAATTGCTTGTCAGGTGAAGGGAAATTTGAAATGTGACACAGATACAAAATTTTAATTGAATTAAGCAATAATTACATGGCACAACAAAGATGATGAGCTTTAATTCTATTGCTAGAAGTCCTGTTTCCTATTAACTAACATGATTAAAGCTAGTAATGCTGATAAAAACAAGAAAATACAACACGGGCATCAGTTAGTGATGTGTATTATCAACAAGAAGTAGTTAGACTCATTGAAAAGAGAAAACATCGTGATTTCCTTGTTGAGTTTATGATTATGCAATCAAGAAGAAATCCAAATTCCTCCCAAGGTAGGAAAAACCTAGAAGGTTGTATTGAAATCACAAGCTTCACTGTTGGAAATAATGTTCATCTGAGAGGCATTGATGCCAATATGCAGCAAAAACCGCCCTCCCAACCAGAGAATAGATTGATGAAAAAACAACTTTTAAAAGTATTAAAAAAAATACAAACAAACATCTATAAAAAAAAGAAAATTGACAAATAATACTAAGAAAAGGTATCCTTACAATTGTAGGTCACTGAGCATGGAAAGCAAAATTTTGGTAGCTTGTTCGATGTGCTTCTTAAATAACTCTTGCTTCTCTGCTTCCAATTTAGGCATCAATAGCTTGATATAGTGCTTCATATATGTCACAAACTGCTTCTTGTTGAAAGAAGTTTGTCCCTGTCAATAACATGGCATAGCCAACAAATCTCCGTTAACACAAATTCATATGCACTTTTGAGATAAGAACACTAATAAGCAATAGATTGGATGCTTAACCTGAAGCCTGAATGTGTCGACAATATCGATGACCTTCACTACAGAATCATCGACACTTTCATCTTCTTCCCCACCTTCATCCGAAGGGTTAGCACCAATGTCTACATCTATAGCTCCTTTAACCACCCACTACCAATAATCACAAAAGAAAATTTCATAATAGACAATGCAAAAGTCTAGAAACTTTGCAGACTGTACATCACAGCTTGTTCCATAATAAAAGTATCTATGCTGGGAATACTTGAGCCATTTGATAGAATAAAAACAAGAACATAAGGATACAGAATATAAAAGTTGAGTTATATAACAGCACGAGAACAGAAAAAAAAGCTGAATACGGTAATTAGTCTATTTTTAATTTCTTTGAACGGAAACGAGCCTGAAAGAAGCTCATCACCTAAAGCCATATAAATTATCATCAATGCATCAATCAAATGCAAAATTCAAATATAAGCATCCACACGGTTATATCAAATAGAATGGTTAAAATTTGGGTCAAAGGATTAAGCAATCAAACGTGGACATATCTGCACATAGATGTATACAAATTAAACTATAAGGAATTTGGATTTCACCAATGGGTACTATGTTTCTTTGTGGAGTGTGTGTGTGTGTGTGTGTGTGTGTATATATATATATAATTTTTTTAGGGTGACAACAAACAACAGATTAGATTAAAAAAGAAAGAAAGAGAGGAAGCAGATGGAATTCACCAGCTAATTTTGAAGTACATGGCAACCAGCATTGGACATTGCCAGATCTACATAAACATGGATATATCAAAGAACTCAATGAGTGGAAAGGGTCGATGTAGCAACCTAAACCTACGACTCGACGAAACAACATGCAGTGGTACTCTTAATCTGTGGTCCCATAACCTCATAAGAGTATGTCGGTATGACATTAATGCCTAGTGTATCATCAACACGATATGACAGCCGAAATTGGAGCTTTATCTCGAAACCATGAGTTAAACAGACATTGTTTGAGCTGTTAGCCCTATCTTCTAAACGGACAACGGCCCCAATTGAAGCGCAAGCACACAAATTAATGAGAACTACAAGTAGAAAACAAAAAAGGACAATTAGGTTGCTTGGAAGATCCCAAAAGACCGAGCTTTTCCTCAATTCGAAGGTAATTTTAACTGCAAGCTACAAATTTTCAACCGAAAAAAGGATTTACGATCATCATACAGACAATGACGCCAAAGAAGAGAGAGTAAAAGAAAACGAACTGTAATCGTGCGTATCTGTGAGCAAATCCTGGTATACCAACATGATTTCGAGGAGCAACAACACTGACGAGGAGAAAGATGACTCAATCGCGGTGCATGGAGCCGCTCAGCACAGACATTATTTATTGACGAGGGGGATGTCCTTCTCTCGGCATCGATCTCTTTCGGAGGCCAGAACCCCGGTTGAACTAGATATCAATCTCGGACCGTCCGATCGTGATAATACACCGGGATGAAGCAAAGCGACGGCTAGATCGGCTTCAGAAGCGTAAACGTCTCGGAAATCTCGAGTGGGGCGGGACGGCCAATCCAGGTAGATCCAACGGCCAATATATCGTCAAGTGAAGATCGAAGGGCCCTGATGCGCGTGCGCTACACGTATAATTCTGCTGTCCCACGGAATCAAAGTCCTCGGCTGGATTGACGGAGGAAAACACTTGCTCGATTCATTGGATGTTTGTGACCAAATCAATTACGGGTTTAATCGGTTTCTTTGGCTGGTGATGATGGCAACTTTCAATCCTCGTACCAATTTCTTGGTACTAGCTCTGTGGCGGAAAAGAAAAAGTTAAAAGTAAGTCCCGATGCATATATGGTTTGACAAGGCAAGCACATCAAGTTGGAAAATCTTCAAATAATATACGAAATATAAAAATATATATCTGTTAAGAAAAATCATCATCGATGTCGCAATCAGCTTGACGTTGTCTAAACCTAAGAGTACAGGAGTGTTCGAGGTAGTTTCGGAATAGCTCTGAGGTGATTCCGATGTGAAAGTATCGGACTCTTTAGATGATACCTACGTTAAAGACCAATATCGAGGGAAATTTCTCGATATGATCCCTTCGACACTCAAATTATTCACTGAGATTCTTTTTGGATATAGATTTTTCTTAGGAAGAGAGCCTCCGTGTAATGTCGAGGATTACATTTTATACTAGATCTTGGAAGGGACAACTTGTAATTGCTCCAACGTCTTCCTTTTCGTGTTTTGTCCACATGAACAAAAGGAGAGAGATAGCTTTGAATGATCTATCTTAATTTTTTGTCCACCTGAGTAAATGGGTCGATACTGGCCTAGACCTTTCTTCTTCCATTATAGCTTCCACATAGTGCTTACATGTTAGATAATTATTGATCATTAATATATTCTCTATTAGCATCCAATAAGATTTTTTATGCTTAAATAAGAAGGTATCTCAATTTAAAATGGAGTAAAAGAATAGGTTCCTTTTATATATAACATTGAAATTACAACCATTGTATTCTTTTTTTGACATGAATATTTTTAGTTCCACCTTAGCATGACATCCTACATAATTTTAACGTTGATACTCACTCTCATTCATCATTTTTTCATATGAGATATGTGACATAGTATCAAAAAATTAGTTGAATTTGTCTAAATTGTAATACTCCCTCGTAATAGTTGACCGCAAAGGTATATGATAGAAGATTAGTTTTGAAAGCAAGTGATGAACAAGTCCTACGATCTTAAACAAAAATGTATCACTCAAACATTTCAACAAAGATAATAAAAAGATTTTTTATAGTAAAATAAGAAAGACAATTACAGGTCTAATGTTGGATGCAAAGCTTCGCTACAAATTGTAAGAGAATTAGACTATGTCTAAAATTTTCACTCAATGTCATTGATTAGTGCTCACATAAGAGTAAAAAATATTACTCTAAAAGAGACTTTTATTTATTTGATCTGATCATTTGTCAAAAGGACGAAGGCTTTTAGAGAAGTACAGCATAAAGTCCATTAACTAAATAATTTGATCTAAAATAGTCTTAAGAATCATATATCTTAATTGCTGATAATATTGTATGGAACTCTCCGGTACTTCACCATATTATTTTTTATTATCAACCTCACTATCTTTTCAGTAAATAGTGTAGAGGTATAGTAACAAATGTTGCATACTTTCGTAATTGATCGACTAATACTTATATAAACCCGAGTCCTCCTGCAGTCGATAAGATTAATATAAAATCCAGTGATATACTCTCTCATGACTTTTTAGCACCCTCAAAAGATCTTCAAAAGACCTTTGGTTATATTGCTCTATGTTAACCTATTAACATATAAAGTATATGTCCGAATATATTCTTCTATACTAATATCTACTATTGACCAATAAAAGACTCTTTATGGGAGACAAAGTTTTATGTATACTCAGGTGTTTAGCCCAAAGCACTTCCTTAAGAGTCCATGTTTTGAATTGTTCACTCATTGAAAATAGACTATATTTTCTTTGGTATATAGAGTCTCTCCTAAACCTAGAATTATACATATGTTCTTCTTTAATTAACTATATCAAGGATTATAGGTCATTATAAAATTTTCTCAATTCTAAATAAAAAGTTAGAATATAACTAGCTCACTCGGACTACAAGGTTGTAGAGCATTCACTAATTCATTTTTTCTTTTTAAAGCACTAACAACAACATTAGCTCAATTGATTTTGCACTATATTATCATATCAAATTTTAATAAATAATCCTGACTTACTTTAAAGAAAGTTTTTTTTTTAGTCAAATTTTAATAGGATGTCCTATTAGACCTACAAAAAGAGCTTTTTTTTAGTTAAAAAGTAGTTGGGATGATGTTGTACAAAGAGACCTACTTTTTTTTTTTTAGTTAAAAAGTAGTTGGGATGATGTTGTCCCGATAAGATAGCGTCTCCACACTCGCAATGGGTAACTATCATTATTTCCTTCTCGTGTATTAAATATCGATACTCGATGTTATTGAGCTTACATATCTAATATGTCATAGTGTCACGGTCTTAGCTGGAATTGTCTAAGGCATGAGGCACATTTACGGTAAAGACGCGAACTTAGCTTGCGTTGCCTAAGTCGCGAGGCACCCTTGCGGCAAAAATATGAATTTAGCTTGCATTTCCTAAGCCACGCTTTGCCCTTACGATTTGCGCCCGCAAAGATCAGCCCACTTGTAACCTCTCGTAGGTCCCGAAGGACCTGTAAAAAGAGAAAGTTGATTAGTTTGAAGAACGAGCGACGGACAAGTCCCGACATCTTGCGAAAAGGGGAAGCTTTATAAGTAATTCAGCGAGCACCTTGCGTGCACGAGAGAAAAGAGGGAGAGGGGGAAAATAAGGACTTTAGAAGGTTAAACGAACAGTTGCAAGTCCACAAACAGCTGCTCACTGGGTGTCGGGCACGACAACAAGTTCTCATCAAGGTAATGTGCGAACTTGCGAAAGAGTGTTTAACGCCCGATACTATACCGAAGCCCCATCCATCCCTGTGCTACCCGGGTGGTTCCAGGGTGCTGAGATGGCTGACGTTTCGCGTGCAGCAGCGGGCTACAGAAATCAGTCTATGGCACATGAAAACGGAGCTGTTTTGGGGCTATTTTGCTCGGTTTGGTGAGCGGTCGTACTATAGCGCTGCAACTTGTTTGAACTTATATTTTTTTACAAGCAAAAGGACTTAAAACCAATCCAAAACATACTGCTAAGCAACTGTACATGTAGACAAGAGTGATGAACGGTTCATTAAACAGAGTTGTTGCGGGTGCGCGATGACCGTTCATGACATTCTCCCTTACTCAAACTGTTGACGCTCTCATCGACGCTTGTTGATAGTTGTTGATAATTGTATCTTCATATTGTAGGGCGTTTTTAGGCTCCCAACTGACTTCAGGTCGGGGAAGCTTTCGTCACTTCACCAAGTAATCTGTCTACTCAGCTCTAGTGGATAGCTTTATCTTGCGGTCCGCCAAAATGGTTTCAACTCGCTTCTCGTAGGAGGCTATGGTGGGGGGTAGCTGAGTTGGAACACTTAGAGAAGCATCTTACGGATCCGAGTGGTAGGCTTTCAAGTTGTTGGCGTGAAGAACATTATGAATTTTGAACCACGCCGACAGTTGTAACTTGTAGGAGACATTGCCCACCATGCTGATAATTGGGAAGGGCCCTTCATACTTGCGCACCAATCCTTTATGTTCTTTGTTCCTAAATAATTGGAGTGATGCTAGTTGGAGCTTGACCAACACCAAATCGTCAATCTTGAATTCTTGCGATCGCCTTCCCAAGTCTGCCTACTTCTTCATTCTTTTTGCCGCCTTCTCTAATAAGCCAGCGCAATATCTGTATTTCGGTGCCACTCCCTTGCAAAGTGATAGGCTGACGGACTACTCCCAGTATACCCAATTATCATGG